ACCAGGGCAATGGCAAAAGAAGCTGTCTCAGCCTCATCTCAGCGCAAGAAAGCACAACGTGAATACTTGGCAAAACACCCTTCATACAATAATGCCTTGTTCATTTTTAAACCTAATAGCCCAATCAGAAGGCTCTGTCAAAGATGCGTAGGGCCTGGGCGTGGAAGTGAACGGTTTGATGGTGTTGAGCCTGATTTGACCATCTGGTATGGCTTTTCGGCATTCTTGTACCTTTGCATTGTCGCAATGGTCTTGTTGGCATGTATAACCACACCTCTATACCAAAGAGAATACTTCATAGCCAACCCTGAGAAATCAACTGGGAATAATTGGTTCGTCTTTTGCGATTTCATCTTTGGGATCATTTTCACCGTCGAAGCTCTCATAAAAGTCATTGCAGATGGGTTCTTCTGGACTCCAAACGCATACTATAGAAGTACGTGGGGCCTCATAGATGGTCTAGTGCTTATTACCTTGTGGATCAATGTCATCACTTCGTTGATGGACGATGGGGCAATTGCACGAGCAGTTGGAGCTTTCAAAGCCTTGCGAGCTCTCCGATTGCTCAATGTCAGTGATAGCGCAAGAAACACATTCCACTCTGTGATTCTTGTCGGTGGATTCAAAGTTCTCTCGGTACAAAATCTGTTTCCATTTTATTTAATGTTTCTGCTAACGTGCTAATAGGCGGCCTTCGTTTCTATGTCCCTCTTGATTCCTTTTGCAATATATGGGGTAAACCTTTTCAACGGCCAGCTGGAGGCGTGCAATGATGGCGACATCACTAATTTGACCGACTGTTCTGGTGAATTCTACAATCAACCGTTTAGTGGTGATTGGAACATTGTTTCACCTAGACAAGTTGGAAACCCCTGGTATGATTTCGATAGTTTCGGGGGCTCATTATTTATCCTTTTCCAAATCGTATCTCAAGAAGGTTGGGTCGATGTAATGTTTCAGTCAATGTCCATTACTGGCCGTGGTCTCAATCCGGGTGATCCTACATCGCGCGAATTCAATGCAGTTTTCTTCGTCCTTTTCAACCTTCTTGCCACGGTCTTTATCCTTACTTTGTTCATCTCTGTGTTCATGCGAAACTACACGGAACAAACGGGAATCGCATTTTTGACATCTGATCAGAGATCTTGGGTGGAATTGCGTAAACTTCTAAGGCAGGTTTCTCCATCTAAACGCCCGTCCCAGAAAGATCCACGTTGGTGGAAAGACTGGTGTTACAAGAGAGCCACTCGAAAGCATGGAAAGTGGCATTCAGCTATGACCTTAACTCTTGTCTTTCATCTCATCCTATTGGTAGTGGAATTTTATCCCGAGCCAGCTTTGTGGGATAGAACTAGAGATTATATATTCTTGGCTTGCACAGTTTTCTATATCCTCAATATTTTTGTTCGTATAATTGGTCTGAGCTGGGCTCGATTCCAACGAAGTTCATGGGATGTTTTCTCGATTCTTGCAGTCTTCGGTACACTGGTCACGACAATCCTCCTTCTCACCAACTTCAAATCACGAGTTTATGTTCAACTACACAAATTATTTCTTGTTTCTATCGTTCTACTCTTAATTCCCCGAAACGATGCCCTGGATCAGCTATTCAAGACTGCAGCTGCTAGTTTAACAGCCATTGGAAATTTGTTGGCAACTTGGTTTGTTCTGTTTATGGTCTTTGCTATCGCTATGACTCAAACCTTTGGACTCACTCGATTTGGTGAACAAGAAACCGACAATCTCAACATGCGAACAGTACCGAAAACGCTTATGATGCTATTTCGTATGTCTTGCGGAGAGGGTTGGAATCAAATCATGGAAGATTATGCGACTATCACACCTCCATTCTGTACTCAAGGTGACGATTTCTTCGATAGCGACTGCGGAAGCCCTACTTGGGCTCGAGTATTGTTCATTTCGTGGAACATCGTGAGCATGTATATCTTCACTAGTTTATTTGTGTCACTCATCTACGAGAGTTTCAGTTATGTCTTCCAACGATCCAATGGCTTATCTAAAGTTAGTCGTGATGAGATCAGACGCTTCAAAGAGGCTTGGGCTACATTAGATCCGGATGGTACAGGGTTTATCGAAAAGGAACATTTCCCACGACTTCTAGGTGAACTCTCTGGTGTCTTCGAGATGCGTGTATATTCACATGAAGATTCGGTTCGCAGAATTCTCGAAGATATACAAACGGAACCAACCAGTGATAGAATGAATTCTATTTCAAGCCCCAGCGCTTCTAATGGTATTGATTTGAAGAGACTGAATGAAAGGATTTCTCAAATTGATGCCGGTAGAGTCAGAAGAGATAGAGCGAGATTTAATCTTTTCTATGAAGAGGTTTTAGTCTCGGCAGATCCTGATCGGGGTATCTCTTTCACGACAGTATTGATGGTTTTAGCTCATTATAATGTTATTAGTGACAATAAGAGCTTGAAGTAAGTTATTCGGGTGGTGTTTTGGTGCTTTAGCTAATTATTGATATAGACTTGAAGAATTTTTACGTCGCCGCGCACGTCTTCAAAGAGTGGAAGAAGAAGTCCGAAGACGAATTGTGGTTGGTTTCTTCGATACTATGTAAGCTTTTGGAATTTATATTTGCGCACATGTTTCATTTTTACTGATAAACACAGGTACTGGTCACGAAGATTCCGCAAACACATGGAAAGGAAGAGGTCTGGCCGAATGACGGATATTCCTCAATTGGGCCCAGAAGTTTACGTCGACGACGAAGATGCATCTACACAGAAACATAAATCCACGGCTTCAGGAAGCGGAGCTTTACTTTCACCAACAGATATTACGGATTCGAGAAATTCGTTTATTACCCATGGACTTGATGGGGCACCACTTAGACAAAGAAGAGGAACGGATGCGGATGTCGGACTGGGTTTGAATACTTCGTTCCCTTCAGTAAGCTCTGCAGTGAGTCCAACTTTGAGTCCACTGAAAGCGCATGGGCCGCGTGGATCGGCATTTTCGTTTGAAGGGGTGGGTATAGGAGCTGGTGATGGGAGTGCAATTAATAGCACGGCAAGTAGTAGAAGGAATAGTGCGGTGTCTGCGGATAATGTCTTGGAAGTGTTGGATAACTCAGCGTGGGGAGAGAGTATCAGGAGGAGTTTCACTACGAGGAGAAGCAGTAAGAGTGGGGCTTAGGGGTGGAGAGGGGTGTGCATGTATTATTGCGGAGAAGGAGAATACATACATTGTAAAGGGTCATGCATGGAGTTGCGGACTTGAGCGAACAAAAAGGAAAAAGAGAAGGGTCTACTATGAGTTGGGCATTGGATATATAGCTACTCTGGCTGGGGGATGAGAGGCGTATGGAGGGAGGAGTTTCATTGGAATCGGAATTGGAAGATAGATGGACTTTGATCTTTCCTCTGTTAACTTGTTCACTTTGTTTGTAATAGGTGGGGATTGAGATAAGGATATGATTCCTTCTTGGTTGTATTTGTTTATTTGTGTGTTACAGCGAGGGAGGGGGAAGGGAAGGGAAGGAAGGGAGAAAAATGCAGTTGAGAGGCGGATATGTGTTTGCATAGCTTATGGCGTTTACTTTGCACCTATTTGTCTTTTCACCACCTTTTCTTTGTCATGATAAACTTTATGGTTGATAGATTGCGCATTGGGGTTTGGGGGTTAGTGATCGAGGGGGTTGGTGGATTGGAGATGGGAAGTGAAGAGGAGTAAGGGGATTGAGTGAATGAGTGAGTGAGTGGGCATATAGTGTATTGAAATGGATAGATCGATCGATAGATAGATAGATGGGGATGCGAGTATATACATATGTACGTGTAAACGATAAATCGGATCGAATTGAATCAAAGTGAAGTGAAATGAGAAGTGATAAAGCAAAGAAGTGAGATTCAACAGACTTCTGTTTATTTTGATTTATGATAATGTGATGTGTTGTGTTGTGTTGTGTTGTGTTGTGTTGTGAGCGAGTAGAAGATTTTGTATTAGTGTTGGCTCTGGGGTTAGGTTGATTACGCTGTTAGCGGGGAGGAGGGTTGATGGACGATTAGGAGATTAGCTTGTTGATTGTGTTATTAAGTGCTGATTTGGGATCATCTTGAAGGAGGGAATCAGAATTCTTCTTAGGAGGAGTTTTACATTCAAATTTTATATCTTGAGTTTTGTATAACGTGGTTTATTAGTGAGTGGGTTATATCAGTGGGTTATATCAGTGAATAGATTATTATGAAAACTATTTAAATCAAGCTTTTCAAAATATTAATATTTTAATAATCAATTATTATTTTCTTGAATAAAAAATCTTAGAAAATAATTAAAATATAGATTTCTATTAATCTAATTTTTATAAAATAATTTCATTATTTTCTAAAAAAGAAAGGAAATTGTTACGATTTTCGTTACAAAAAACTATTTTTATAATAATAATTTTATAAATTCAAATTTCTTAAAACTAATTAGATTTTTAAAATTATTTTATTTTTAAATATTTTATATTAAATTTTCAGAAAATTATATTTATAAATAAAGAAAGTGTATGATTATACACAAATGAATTTTGTATGTAAAATAAATAATCCATTCACTGATATGACCCGCTCACTAATAAACCACGTTAGGGGAGATTTAATATTTATATTCATATCTATATTTAACTATCTAGGCATCTATCTACAAGTCCCTTTTCTCCTTTTTCGACAACTATAATATAATCTTCTTGAATACTCTCGTATTCATATTTGCTATATGCTCTTTCCTTTTGAAAGTTTCCTGATAATGAGAACTAGAAATCTCGCTTAATATGCTGGGATGGTTTCTTCGCTTTAGATGAGAGTGTGTGAGAGAGAGTTTGATTTTAGTAGATACCCCTCATCGTCTAATCATCTCGTAACGTACTCTGCACACCATCTTCCGCTACTGCATTTCCTATCGCCATGTATCAACGATTGAAAAAGCGAAGACGAAGCAAAAAACAACAATCCGATGGAACCAGAATACGAGGGATGAACCACTCAAGTCGCAATCGAACCTTGCGATCCGGACAGACACTGAAGTTGATACTCATACTGAAGACGAGATAGCGAAGATAGAGAAGCATCTAGTGCCGCGTCGGCATCAAACTCGCGTTTGTGAGACCAGGAGGTTGCGTTTTGTATTTGTGTTTGTGGATTAGGAGTGGGAGTAGAGGGATAGGTATCCGTATTCATATCTCTATCCCTATCCATCATGGTTGCAAAATCCGGATACTCGGCCTCGGCGCGCGCCATGTGCAATTTGAATTTAGGTGTGGGATTCTCGGTGTCGTCGTAGAGGGAATCTTCCATGTCGAGTGAGGATTGCGTGTCTTCTTTATCGTCGTCGTTGTGGTTGGGATAGCGGTATCGATATGTGTTTCCGTTTTCATTGCCATTTTCGGACATTGTGTTGAACGGATTTCCTGTGGCAGTTTGTGGGTTTGTCTTGGGCTTGGGTCGCATGTGCATATATGCGAAATCACTTTCTCGGAGTGGTTTTCTAGGTGTGAGGATGGATTCATCGATTGTCTCTTCGATATCCGTTTGTATATTCGCTTGGTTTTGGCTTCCGAGCTTTGTATCTCTGTCGGAAGAACTAGGCGAAGAAGTATAAATCTCCACCATCGAATCCTGAGACTCGGTATGAATCAATCTATGACGATCTTGATCGTTTTCCCAGTATTTACCGGAGCCGGAACCAGAGTGTGCATCGGTAAATACATCGCATTCATCGTAATTCTCCGTATCATCATCGTGCTCGGTCTCGTTTCCCTCATCGTCATCTTCATCATTGACTATATCCATATAACTCACTGCTCCGACAAATCTATTCCCATTCTCCTGTCCCATGGCTTTAGTGCCCTCACTATCGCATTTCAAAAGATTCATACCATCCAGCATCTCTCTACAAGATCGATGTATAGATTTCCAGGTCTTTTGATTTTGCTTCTTTGGAATCATCTTCGCTCTTCCTCTTCCACTTCTGCTCTCGACGCCCTCCTGGTTTCTATCCCCTGTACTTCTCATATCTCCAACCCCCTCAATCTCATTCTCATTCTCATAAGTACCCTTCTTGATCGGATCATTATCATATCTCCCACTCGCGCTCCCAAATAACAACCCCCTACCAAATCGCTCCCCGAGAGGCGAATCCATCGGCGGTGTATCCGGGCTCATAAATTGCCCCTCTACTCTCGAAAGAAGATATTCCGTATGCTGTGTCGATGGTCCCGAGAGCAAATTTGTATCTAAATCTCCTGCAGCACAATAAGCCAAGGGCTTCGCTGGTTTACCATTAGGACTAGATGATTTGGGGATTGGAGTGGCTGCTGGGCTATCATTCATCTGGTCCGAGTGATCGAAGTTGTTTGTATGATTAGCATGAATAATATATTCATGATACTCCTCTCTCCCAAACCCAGCCCCAATCTCAGCCCCTTCATCTGCATACACAATAGGTACATTTTTCTTCGAATGGAGATTTAGATTCTTCAGGGGGAAGTTTGCCGCGATACCCATGTTGAGATTTGAGAGGAAGGACTTGCTATGCGAGATGTTCCATAGATTACGCATTTTGGAGGTAAGATTGGAGGGAGAGGAAGGGCTACTAGGTGCGCTGGAGTAAGAGCTTGAGGATTGAGCGGAGAAGGATGAGGAGGATAGTTGGGGTGGTGGATTGTGGAGTGTAGAGTTGGGGCTTGTTTTTAATGGTCTTGGTTTTGGTGTTGGTGATGTTGGGAAGGATGGGAATGATGGTTTGGAAAAAACCTTCTGCTCAAAAGAAATTCGGGGATTTTGTTGCGGGGTTTTCGGATTCGCCATCATGTGTTGAGAGATGGTATCTATAAGAAGTTGGAAGTTGGAAGTGTATGTAGATAGGTATTTCGTGTCCTTTATCAAATCGTCGAGTGATGTTTTAGATTCTTGATGTAAATGTATATCAAGATATCTAGAAGTTTCCCAAGAGTGTTGAAGTCATGAGATCTTGTATCTGGTAGAGAGATGATCTTGAATATGAAGACGAATGTGAGTAGATTTAGAATGAAATCTAAACTCCGAATATGCTTTTCGACACAACGTCAAGTGCGAGACTTATATACTTTCCTTCCCCTAAACAAAACACTATCTTTCCTACGGCTATACGGTTCTAGCTTACAAAAACCTTTAAGAACAGCCGTATATATCTATACAAAATGAAATACAGAGAACCGATCGTATCCGTGAATCCCCAAGTACGGCGTTATTGTACAGTAAATTTATCGATGACCGTGAGTGTTGTCTATATCTGGATATATGAGATGTAGATGATTAATCGCCAAAACATAGCCGTGCAGTGATTGGAGTTGCGGCTAAGTCACTTACTACGGTGTGCCAATCACCCTAGATGAAGTTGCGTCGTTGTAAAAAGGAGAAAGAGAAGATATGAGAGGAAGTTCATACGTCTTGATACAGCATGGATGACGTATCTTTAATAGGTAATTACAGAAACATGTTAGTGAATAATAATAATAATAGACGGCTAATATAAACCACAGCTGTACAGTGATTGGAGTTACGGCTAGCTCACTTACTACGGCATGCCAATCATTCTAGACGTAATTAAGATTATAGCAAAAGGAGACAGAAGATATGAGAGCGAATGCGTACGTCTTGATACAGCCCTGATGACGTACTCGCAAAAACATATCAGTGAATAATAATGAAGACAAACGAGTGGTACAAAATATAGCCGTGTGGTTTACTCGCTCGCTACAGCACACTAATTCCAATCCATTTCCAATTACTCCAGAATCCAGACAAGAAAAAAGCGAAGAAGAGTGAATAAATTCAAGAAATTGATACATACATTTCAAACCAGTATAGATGATATACCTATACAGTTGAGTAATCACAGAAATATATTAGCGAATAACAGCGAAAACAAACAACTAATATCAACCACCGCTGTACAGCGATTAGAAAGCACACTAATTTCCTCGCTCGCTCGCTTGTTCGCTACAGCACCAATCCATTTCCTTTTCCAACACCAACACAATCTCCAACCACTCCATCTCTAAACCTCTAGAATCCAGGCAAAAACAAACCCCCAAAAAAGTGAATAGCCATAGACATCCAAACAAATCCACACATAAAGATTCCGCAACAGCACCGCTGACGACCGACGTCCGAAGTAATGATAAAAACAAATGTGTATGCGTGAAATCTATAATTATGATTGTAATTATAGTTATTAAGGGATGAATAATGGATGAATAAAATGGATGATTCATTACCACTAGGCTTGTGGCTTGTGTACCTATACAACACCACACAACGCAACACAACACCATACGAAGCGAAGGAAAATACGTGTGTGAAATAGATAATCTCTCGCATGAGAATCGTAAACGTAAGTGCGATGGGGTAAGAAGAGAAACGAGGAGGCAAATATTTGTACTCACTCGCATGGTATTTTAATGATCGCATTGGACATTATGGATGTGTATGTATATTTGGAAAATAAATACACAAAACTTTTTAATATTTAGCAACCAATAATATCAGTATCAGGTAATGAATGGTTTTCGCTCACTACCATATAAAATACACCGACTCCTCACCCCAAATCTATCCCCCTCCACACTTTCCCCCACATCTCCCCACCCTCTCCCAATGCACCAGATGACCCCTAACTGTCCTCACCCACCCAGCATAAACTACCGTACTTCCTCCCACCGCCATCAAACTCACCAGAGCCACCCACCCAAACTGATCTTGTCTCGACCAAATAATCGCCATTACATAGTTCCCCAATTCAAATAGTGCTACGAGGGAGTATTCGCAGCCGGCAAAGGAGGAGCGCTGAGTAGGTGCGACGAGGGTTTGGCTTAGTTGTTGAGTGGTGAGATCGAAGATCCAGAGACCGAGACGGGAGAGAGAGAGGGTAGCAAAGAGAAAGAGGGCGAGAAGGGGAGAGCTGGGAGAGAGGGGGGGGGTGATGCGGGAGAGGAGGGGAGTGCTGGGGATCGAAGTGGAAGTGGAGAGGGACCAAAGGATGAGGGTTACGGGGATCTGGTATTTGTTTAGTATGTGGATAACTATAGATGATCATGAGAGGGGGAATACATACGAGATTTATAAATTGCCATGAAAGACCCCAAAGACCTAATCGTTCCAATCCAGTAGTGATTCTTCCCGATTCGTCGATTTCACCTTCTCCTTGCGAAAAAACTTCCTCTGAATCATTGGCTCCGTTCAGACGATCGTATGGACCATGTCCATGAGCCTTCGAGAGTTGTCGCACTCCAAATGGTGTTACAACGGTGCTACTAATTTCCACCACACTTCCCGCTGCTCGGGCGAGCGTAATAAGATCCAACGAAAATCCCGCATTCAGTAAGAAAGTGATAAACGTGGCACCATACGAAAGTGCAGAAAAATGGAGTACAGAGAGCGACATCGAAGGAATCCAAACTTTAGACGAAAAATAATTCCTAAAGTCTTCCTTATGCAAATGAAGTCCTCGCTTGAATTTCTCCCTCAAACTTAGCACCTCGACATCCGATACCACTTCATCATTTCGAACCTCCTTCTGTTGTTGTAATCGAATGTTAGATCTCCATACTCTCCTCGCAGACCACATTTCGAATCCCCAACTCGCAGCACTCATCCCACCTACAACAATCACCCCAATTTTTATTCCCAGTCTCGAGATTAGGAATGAGATTAGTATCGGAGCGAGGAGTTTACAACTCAAATCGATCCTTCTCATCGAAGAATTTAAATGCGTGAGATCATATTGATTCCCTCCCGGTGCGGCAGCAACAACCACCCAATCTCTTTCCATTGACAGCATATTCCCATTAGCGCTCAATCCTTCCAAGATACCAAATCCAAGAATTGGTAAGAACATGACGATTTTCATGGTATCTCTGAATTTGACATCATCTTTCCTGGACTGGAGTAAAGGTATACCATTTTCAGGATTATTCTCCGATTCAACCACGAAAAACCACAATATAGAAGCGCAAATAACCGCGACTCTATTAACGGTAATCGTAGTCGAAAGGGTCTTTAGTCGATCTGGACTTGTATCAACCCATCTCCCTACATTCGAGGAGAAACAAATGGATGCTAAAGTCCTCACGATACCACTATTGAAGTGCAGATCATAGAAATCAGTATATGTTCATCACGTGAGATCCATCATCTCATCTCCTTGTCCCACGTCCCAATTATTCATGGGGGAGAAAAACATACCGAACAGAAGCAGCAACCAAAGTATCGGGCCATGCATTTGCCGTAAAGATAATCTATCAGAAATTCATCAATCGTCTATAAATCCAGACTCTCCATCGCATAACATAACTCACAGCCGCGAATTCATAACTCCTTCCATTCCAGGTGGATAAAAAGTGACTCAGATAAAGAGCCCAAGCTTGTGTTTTATTCAAGTCCGTTTCCACTTCCATTTCCATTTCCATATTCATTTCCGTCGGTATCACTTCTTGCTCAGCCCCATTCGATATCAAAGCGTCTTCCTCATTCTCATCCTCATCGTCTCCATCCCCATCATCTGAGACTGAACCCGAATCCGAATCTAGATGTAAACCCGAGTCCATATTCTGCGCACGCGATGTCATCTGAACCCCTCCAGTTCTATTTTCATCCATCGCTTCGGCGTGGGTTGAACAATGCTCTCCAACTATAGCCATATCTAGGGTTGAGGATTTATAACGATATAGTATTGAACATTCGTTAGTGAAATGTAGTATATCATATCAATCACCTACTGATAGATATATGGTGTATATCAGAGTGAGTAAGGTAAACGGTTTTGATTTTGAAGCTATTTTAATGATCAGAAGAGCGAATTTGACGAGACTAATTATTCCTCAACAAGTTAAAAATGAATATTCACGTGACTATGGATATATTATCTGATAAGTCGACCACCCTACTTTCGGGTCACCCCTGTTTTGGGCCACCCTTTTATACCAAAAATCACTTTTTTGGCTTATCGATATCTCTATAAATATTAAATATAATTTAATAAAAACTTATATATATATATAATTTAAATCATTTTGGATTTAGAATAGAAATTTTAGAATTTTAGGATTTTTCTGGATTGAGATCTAGAACTTCAAAATATTGATTTTCGAATTTGTATAAGAATTATATACAAATTTAAAATATTTATATAATTTTAGATAACTTTTTAATAATAAATATTAAAAGAAAATTATATATCTTTTGAAGATTTCAAATCTGAATCTATATAGAAATTCAAAAAAAAATTCAAAAAAATAAATGGATATAGAGATATAATATATAGTGAATTTAAAATAATATAAATAATCCCTGTAATTTTGAAAATATCCCTTTAAATATTTATTTATAAGGAATTTTCTATTTTTTTAGAATCTATTAGAATAAATATATTATAAATATATTATAAAATTTTATAATTTATTTTTAGCAAATTTTCCTTAAAAGTTATTATAGATTTTATAGAATTTTAAATTTGTATATAATTTCTATATAAATTGAAAATCGATATTTTGAGGCTTTAGAAATCGATTCATAAAAATTCTAAAAATCTGAAAATTTCAATATGAATTCAAAATGATTTGAATTATATATATATAGATTTTTATCAAATTATATTTGATATTAATAGAGATATTAATAAATTAAAAAAGTGATTTTTGGTGTAAAAGGGTGGCCCAAAACAGGGGTGGCCCGAAAGTAGGGTAGTCGACTTATGTATAGAATCTATTCCCAATGTCGAAGATCAAATTGAAAATAGGACCCTGAAAAAGAATCTAGACTTCAATTCTGTT